ACAAGTTGACGTGAGTTCGTGTCATGACAAAGCCATGATATGATATGCTATGCTTGCCTCTAGACAGTTTTGTTTCGCATCAAGGCACGAGTCAAGAGGTAGCATAATGTCTTTTGTGCGGCCCCAGGCCCCTCGCATCCGCAGCCGTTCAGTTGAAAAGCCAAGCATGAGATGTATTGCCGTCCTTTCTCTCTCTCTCTCTCTATCTCTGCCGTGCCAGCATCAAGCTACGCCAATCTTGATAATCAGAGGCTCGAGGTGTTCGGATCTTCTTATCTACATTGGTAATCTTCGTCGGTCATGTCGGTGCTCGCTTCAGTGACGAATCTCTCGGATTCAGAGCCGGAGTTGGGTAACGAGAAGAGCGAGAAGACGGAGACCATGCCGAAAGCGCCGGCCCAGATGGAGAGCAAGGCGAAAGCGAGTGCCAAGACGAAAGCACAGGCCAAGAAGGAAACCAAGCCGAAAGCGAGTGCCAAGACGAAAGCGAGTGCCAAGAAGAGGCCCGCCGCAGCCGACCCCGAGACCTCCGAGACCCCCACCTTCGTGGCCACAGAGACCGAGAATGCCTATTGCAATGCCAACGAGGGCGACGGGGGCTTCAGATTGAGACCGTACAAGCAAACGAAGGCAATGGCCATCCAGAGGACGACGGGGGAGAAGAACCAGGTGCTGCAGGCTGGGTTCTAAAAATCATCGGCATGGTTTATTTTGCACGAAAAGAAGATTTTCTAGGTTCTGTTCCCTGGCAATCTCAGCCCTAAACCTGTCAAGGTGAAGGTCCGGAATGCCTCCTTCGAGCAGAACACAATTCTTGCTCAGACGCTTTTGGAGTTGCTTCGCGAGGGCAAACCCCTGGAGGAAGTGCTTGAGCTGAAGAACCGAATGTGCATCGATCTGGAAACCGAGATCGCTTGGAAAAAGTGATAAGCCGCTAAGCCCAGCATCGCCAAGTTTTGTGTGTGTCTGAAGTTTGAAAGCTTTAAGGCTAAAGTGTACATGCTGCGGGCGATGCTGGCACACAGATGCTTCGGATTCTGATTTTGCTAAGATGCTCAAGTGGTGCGAGAAAAGACACGATTCAAATCAGCTGCATGCCGCTTTTGCTTGGTTTCTTGCTGAGCTATGTGTCTGTTTGTCACACTCACTTGCTCGCTCACCCGCTCATGCACTCAGTCACTCATTCACTGACTCACTCACTGACTGTGTCACGCACTCACTCACTCAGCACAGCTCGGAAGCATGCAAAGAGAGAGAGGGGGCGAGAGAGACCCATGGGTATGTAAATGTGTATGATGTAGCTATTACTACTGCCACTACTACTGCTGCGACTGCTGCTGCTACTGCTGCGACGACTGCTGCTGCTGCTACTACTACTACTACTACTACTACTACTCAGTACCACTACCACTACCACTACCACTACCACTACCACAACAACAACAACTGCTGCTGCTACTACTACTACTACTACTACTACTGCTAGTGCCACCCTACTACTGCTACTACTGCTTCTTCTTCCTCCTTCTGCTACTACTACTCCCGCTGCTACTGCTGCTACTGCAACAACAACAACAACAACTACTACTACTACTACTACTACAATGAATACGAATACGAATGAGAATACAACGACTACTACCACCACTACCACTAGCACGACCACTACCTCTACCACTACCACTACCACAACCACTACCGCTACCGCTACCGCTACCGCTACCGCTACCACTACCACTTGCTGCTGCTGCTGCTGCTACTACTACTACTACTGCTACTACTACTACTACTACTACTAATACTACTGCTACTGCTACTGCTACTGCTACAGCTACTACGAAAACTACTGCTACTGCTACTGCTACAGCTACTCCTGCTGCCACTGCTGCTGCTGCTGCTGCTGCTACTACTACTACTACTACTGCTACTGCTACTACTACTACTACTACTACTACTGCTACTGCAAGTGCTGGTGCCCGTGTAGCAGTTCATGGTGGCCGTACTGCCACAGACAGTTATAGCATTCGCAACGGCAAGGGTAAGGTTAGTCCTCCTGTTAATCGCAAAAAAACGACGCGACAATAACAGTGTGAAGCACAGAGTGTTAACCGTAGCAAAAATGCTGCTACCAGTCAGCAGTCCTGGCATCCACACAGGGATTTCCTGGCTAGGTTGCCTGTTGAGCTGAGATGCTGAAGACTTTCTGCATCCTAGGACGTCGATCGTGGAGACATCCGGAGTCTGCTGGGTGATGCAGCGTCGAACTCTGATGGCTTCCAGCCTTTCAAGCTGGAGAGTGTGCAGCAGGAGATCGATGTGGAGGCTCGCAGTTACATGGTGGGTCCTTGAAAGGTTATCCGCCCTTCTTTCGGGGTGGGGAAACTAAGTGCCGGGTGCACAAGAGCACATAAGAAAGAATTCTATGGTTTAGAATAGCCACTACCCGCTGTTTATTGTGCTCTGGCTGAAACCCTAAATCCCAAAACCCTAAACCTTAAACACTAAACCCTAAACCCTATACCCTAAACCCCAAACCCTAAACCCTAAACCCTTCAAATGTAAGCGAACGCAAGGCTCCGGGCCGACCCGGAGCCCTCATCCGGAGCTGTTTACTCTCAGCCCCAAAAGCATCACACCCAGTTTGGGTTTAAGGTTTAGGGTGTAGGACTGTAGGATTGAAAAGTCTATGGTTTAGGGGTGTAGGGGTTTAAGGTTTAAAAGTTTATGGTTCAGGGGTGTAGGGGTTTAGGTTTTAGGGGGTTAGCCTAAACCCCCTTTAGGTGAAGTCTGAGGAGCAAAGACACTTTGAGCATTGTTCTGTACTTCTACAGCTGGTGCAGATCCGGGAGCACTGTGGATCTTGACTCTTTCGTTTAGAATTCTGCCGCAGGGCGACCGAGATCTGATCCGCAGGGCTTTCGCACAATGTGGCCCAAAGTAAGTATGAATACTATTGGGGGTTCCTGTCTTGTAGAGGAAGAAGATACTATGCCCCAGGGTTCCTGAATAGAGCTAGACAGTACTACTCCCCGCAACGCCGCGCTGATGATTAGGGCTCACAGCAGTCACAAATCTGCATCCTAGGGGCCGGGAGTTCTCAGGTTTACGGCTTTTGGGTGATGGGAGGAGGAAGCTGCGGGACCCTGTTGTTACGTATACATGTACATGTTCTGCCGAGAGCCTGGGTAGCAGGCTCCTCAAGGAATTGATGAGGCAGTTCTGGAAATCAGGGTCCCTTCTTCGGTCCCCAAAATCGTACGGCTTCCTTATTCTTCAGGACACTAAAAGGGACCCTGATGTAGACAACTACCCAAATGGACCAGCCGAAACTTTAGGAAAAAAATCCCTCAGTTAAGTTGTAGGCTTTGAACCGGAAGCCCTAGATCCTAAATCCTAAACCCTAAACCCTAAACCCCTGAACCCCTAAACCCCTAAACCCCTAAACCCTAAAAGCTCTCAGCCCTAAAACGCTCTAAGCCCTAAGCCCCTAAGCCCTACACATCTCAGCTCTTAGGCCCCAGAGACTCCCATATCTCTTCATTAAGGAATATACTTTAAATCCTATCAGGGTTCCGATGATCAGTTAAGGTCGATTCCTCAATTAATTTAAGGAATATATATTGAATCCTATTAGGATTCCGATTATTACTTAAGGTCTATGCCTTAATTAACTAAGGAATATACCACAACTCTTATCAGGGTTCGTATTTATCACTTAAGGTCTATTCCTTAAGTAAGGGCTGTTGGAGTCCCTGGCACCCCGGCCTAACGTAGGAACCTGATTAAGAAACCTTGGCCCTATAACCCCAGTATATTAGGGTTCATACTAAGAACCCTAATCAAAACCCAGGGTTTCTTAATCAGGTTCCGATATTAAGCTACCCTTAAGTAAGGAACTTACCATAAATCTTATTAGGGTTCCTATTAT